TGCAATATAGGTACACACAGGTTACAAGTGCAAATAAATATTACTTTTCATCACTTGTGGGTTACTTATATCATCCTTTAATAGTTCACTGCTGGACATAGGCCTCTCCTTAAAAAGGAGTTTTTGGCCTACTATATCACGCTGGTCAGACGGGTTGGTATAGGGTTTGTGTAAAGCTGTCCTTCTTTTTGCAGTACTGTTGTCCTGCGTAGTTTGCTCCCTTAAGGTCATAGGATACCTCCCACATACAAAGGAACGGAAACATAAAATGATCACCTCGTCTGGTCGGAGGATCCTCTTTTTTGGTATAAATATAATAACCTTTTTTCATTGAAATTATCATTTAAAAAAATTATAACGGTTCAGATGTAGTCGTACTGTATCAGTTTAAGATCAAGCCATGTGATCTTCATTATCAGAATGGTACAAAGAAAGTGGTCCCGCTATTTTGATATCAAAATGGCGGGACTACTTTCTTTGTACCTACAATATTTTGAAATTTTATGAGGGTAGAATTTTACTACGAAATAGTAAAAGTATTGTATTAAATCCTATTTACATGATATTCAAAAACCTGGCGTGGTCCGGCCACCTCTTCGCACAAAGATTAGGTAGTATAAAATCATGGACTAAAATTGAGTTCAATATAGTCTTGACCTTGTCTTGTGACCGTGTTGTGACAGATTAAAAATGCGGAGTGTCACTATCCCTATTCATCCCGTGGGTGTCATGAGAGCCAACTACGCAGGACAATAGCACTGCAAAGAGCACGAAAACTTGAAATAAAGCCTATAGGCACCAACCCAGCCTGGCAGGCAAACATGGCCAGCGAAAAACAGAACCAAATTTGGCAAGACGTAGTTACACACCTGAAAAACGTCAACTAGAATCGCCGACTTTTCACTTTAAGCTGACAGTTATAATATGTACTCGTAAGTACCTGAATCCAATAGTAACAAGAATTCGGATCATGCCACGATACGATTTCGCATCGTTCTGATTTGCTGTCGGTCTTACATTTAGTATAAATTTGAACAAACCATTAACAAAATAAAACAAAAAAAAGTAGTCAACAAAAGTACGTTTATTAAATACAAAATGCTCCTAAGTTTAAGGAATATTACAGGTGGAAGTGTAGGTACTATATATTATGGACTCTGCGTAGGTACACGTTAGTTACCAAGTAGTAATAGACGACATCACCGATCTAAGTACATAAATGTGACCCAAACGTTACTTACAATATTGACCACTACCATTATTTGTAACGATGAACACTCACATGTGCTTAGCTAGGAAATACCCAAAACATTCGGGCACTTTATTATATTGATATCCCGTGCCTAAATAGTCAAAATTCTTTGAAAGGTAATCCTAGCTAAGCTATAATTTACACTAAATGACTAAAGATACCTCCTAAATAAACTAAATTAAGAATAGAATTAAACATTTGCGATAAGAAGTCCTTGTTATCGTCATATTAACTACTTGGGACTAAGGCAGCATATTATTTTGCAGTAAGTACTTATAGTAAAAAAATGTTGTCGAACACTAAGTTTGGCAATTAGTGTCATTTGCTTTTTTTTTAATATGGCAAGTAATGCTGTTACGATTTCGTAGTCATGGTAAACGGCAAGACATTAAGATGTGCATGAACTGAATATTCCTTTACACTAGGCATTATGGCACTGTGGCGTCGATATAATATATGTAGGTACATTCTAAAAATATAAAAAAATCATAGTCGCTATCAAAAACTACTTCAACATTCCTATAGTTAAAAAACTTTTATTGTCGATTTTGTACTCGTGTAAAATTCTCAAAATTAATATTCAAATTTTGTAAAATACCTGCATAGCCAATGTGAAAATTAAAGAAAAATGATAGTATAAGGTTTCCCAATATTAAATACAAAATAGAATAACAATTTATAAATTCATTTCCTTTGAATATACTTCCATTTATAATCAAACTAATTTCATAAATATAACTTGTATGACCCTTAAATTAGTAATTAATAAAATACAGGCTGGGTTAAAAAATCTTATGATTTTAAATATTGTTCATATAATAGGCGATTAGTCAATACAACAGGCAAGACAGTCCTGTCTTACTGTTAAGTGTTGCACAAACTCGCAACTGAACAGTCGTTGAGTGATATTTCGGTGGCGCCAATATGCGCGTCCCGTGTCATGTTTCTCATTGTTTACAAGTGGAAATGACAATAATCTCAGTAATAACGAGTTGAGAGTATTTTATATCATACGCATATTTGATTACAGGTGAGAAAAATATTGCACTTACACTTTTGTTAAGAGTTGATAAATATAAAAATAATTTTAAAATATGTACGTCATCTATTAAAACATTATTTTAATATGTGCTATAACGCTAAGTATGTATAAGTACCTAAAGGTACGTCTATCATAGGAACACTTGTTATTTAATTAAATTATTTGAATTAAGTTGACAGACCAATATTGTGGATTTTAAGAAACACATGATGTATAATAAGATATTTTATGACCATGATTTTTTACTTACAAATTTTGTAACAGACAGTACACTAAAAGACCACAGCCACAGTCATTCTTAATCTATAAAATATGCACCTACCTATGTTTTCAATAAGTAACAGAATAATGCATTACAGTGTTGCAACTTGCAATTAATATGTACAGCTAATCCCATTTTATATTATCTCCTTGAAAAATTCATAACAAATTTAACAAGACTTACTCAGTTACGTAAACATTAAATAATCCTAACAATACATAGAACTATTTCACATACTAAGGCACAATTATTTTCTCCCAAGCTCTCATTCACTACATTCCATGATATGCAGTATCTTCCTCTATAGAAAAATCTACCTCTACAGTAGTCTTATATTATGCACCACGTTTTACTATAATCTAGCTACACACAATTTCTAACACACTAAAATTAAAGTACATTTTGGCTTCAGATCTCCATCACATGGGGTCCTAATTTCAACAAAACTGCGAATCATTTTCTACTTCGAGTCTTTGTACTTTTATAACCTCTAAACCTACTTTAAATGCATATCTGACTTAATCAAATTCTTATAGCAGTCTTTGATTACATTATATTATTAATCTAGATAAAAGTAGCTGTCAAGGCGACCTCAAAAAGAGCCTTAATAATCGATTGATTATAGGCCTGTGTGTCCAATGGCTAACTGGCTAGTGATATTAAGGTAAGGTGGTAAAATAAATTATACATACAATAATTACAATCAGTTGTTCCTTATCTTGGTGCAATGTATCTGTAATAATCATATGTATAGACGGCCGTGTGCTGATGAACGGAATTGCAGGAAAATTACATCTATGGTCTTAATTTGATGATGCATTGGGCCGTGACCATACTTAATGTCAATTTATTCATTTTTAATTTCTAGACGGCCAGGTCGTCGGTTAAAGGATTTTTCATTTAGTTAATTTATACTCGAAAGACGATCTGACGTAATATATCGATGCATTTTGTAACAATATGTTAATTTGAACAACAGGTAGGTATAGTATATTGTGTAAAAATATAATGTGACAACAACATGGTGTAATTTTCAATTGCTTAAACTAACCATTGTGTAATAAATAGTTATCACATCAGGCAGACCATTTGTTTAATACTATTTTCCTATATGAATGAGCAAGTGTTTCTTTATCTAGAAAATAAAATAATCAAAGACCACAAAATCCCTTGCAGTTTTGTCAAAGAATTACTGTCAGGAATGTTTTAATTCTATAATTTCATATTCGAGGTACACTATTAGGACTTTAAAATGATAGTTTAATATAAATTAAATGACCTATATGCATGCAAGTTGATCTCTCGCAAGGAAAAATCTCTAACGCTAAGTTACAACACTAGGCAACTTTGTAAATATACTTTGTATATTCTTTTATTTCTCTTAAAATTCGATAAGTTAAGTAATTAGAGATGATCCCGTACGTTGCAGATTCGAATAAAAATAATAATCGGTTGAATTTAAGAGGAACTTCAGTATTTTAACTTGGAACTCTAATTTCAATATTTCGATGTTTTTATTTATTATTATATTTACCTATTCATCCCGTGGATGTCGTAAGAGCCGACTAAAACTCCACAGGACAACAGCACGGCAAGAAGGAAAACTTGAAACAAACCCTATACAAATCCGTCTAGCTAGCGTGGTATAGTTAGCCAAACCCTAGGCCAAGAGGCCTATGTCCAGCTGTGGACTATTAAAGTCTGTTGATAATGATAATGATTTATTGCAAATACAAAATAAATATGTATAACTATAACTATTCATAACCATAAACGTCTCTCGTTTATAGTCATGAATAGTGAACTGGTAATCATAAGCTGTGAACAATTAACTTTTAAACTGATTTTGAAAAAGTTAAAATCGATTCATAAACTCGTAATAGAAACATTTTTCTCATCATTACGTACGACAGAATTAGGGAAACTTATTTTTAAATACTATATCCACAGCATCACAATGTCTTTAAATGATAATAAACAGTATAAATGAATTAAAGTGGGTATATAGATAATCTATATATTTTTCTTACGCCTCGTTCTAAAGTTAAATTTCAAGAAGTCTGGCACCGTTACGTTCTCAAAAGTAAATAAATGAATTTACAAAGTATATGTAGTTATTGTCTTACAAAATAATTTCCGTATTCACGAACAAAGTTCTAAGGCAATCTAGAATAATTACAATAACAGAGTTCAAGGACAAATTTTTGCGATCATGCCGGTCATTCACGAATGCGGGTATAACGTGGATGTACAAAAATATGCGTAGACATATTATAAAATTACAGTTACACTATCGGCAAAAGTTATGAGCGATGTCGGTTAGCGCTAACGGTGTCCGTTATCATGCGCTTGTTAGAAAAATGCAGGCATTATTACCCATTCCACTTGTTTTGGCACAAATAGCTTGTACACAAAATTGAATAATTTTTCTTCAACTCAGACGATTATACTTTCGGCGATGTGTTTGATTTATTTCGCGATTTTTCCCACCTGCTGATCACATCGACTGGGTAGCACATAACGGCTGATAGTAGAAGAAATGCTCCAGCTACTATGAACGACTTATTTAAACTGCCCGTGGCCTCTACGATAAATCCTGTGGAAAATTAAAATTCTTGTATAAATAATTAATATTCATTTGTAGTTACATTCATATCAGGTTATACCACGTAAAAGCGTTGTTTAATTTACTAATCGTTTGCCCTATTTTTGCAGCCCATACAAATAAGTTTTAGAGATAATTTTAAACCTTCTGGTGGGTAGTTGTTACAAGGCAGTTTAATTTAGGTCATTGCTTAAGAAATATGCGGGCAAACAATAAGGTAGGAGTTTGGCATTGTGCCTATATACTATGTACCAGACGCATAGTACTGAAATAATTAGGCGCCAGCGCCAAGCACATCTCTGTACGAGTGCTATGTAAGATCGTATCTAGCACCTCGGCTGTCTTTTTGATATAATTGATTTATGTAGCTTTAAAATATTTAATCGCCAATTACGTTAATTAGGAAAACTAACCTGCTATAGGTGCACCAAGCAGAGCTCCAAGGCCTTGGAAGAGAAGAAAGAGTCCAAAACAATTTGTTAGATTTTCCAGACCAATATATTCTACGACCAAAATAGACCGCAGAGATGCGAAGCAAGCTGTAATAAAAAAATAATGGTTAAAAAAAATGAAACCTGTTTTATCTAGTTATATATGTATTAATATTACTTTGAATATAAAATAACTTACCGACGGCAAGTCCAAATATAACGCAGAATCCGATTTGGAAGCTTACTAGGAAGCAAAGTCCGCTCACCATGCATGCTATGCCCCCTGCTGAGATAGCGATGTTGTTTACCCATAACGGCGATACTTTTGGCATTGATGTTACAAAACCGCACAAAATACGACCGAAGGTATTCGAAAGTCCAATACTCCGCACCAACCAATCACAGGCATCAGCTGAAAGGAATGCAGACGCCCGTTTTCTGACGTACACGTAAGGGACGAAGAATCCTAACATTGTAAAGAATCCACTCAGTGCCAACACCACGAATGTTGGAGACTTAAATAGGCTAACATCTAACAGAGTTGCCAATGCTCTCCGAACAGATTCAGGGCAGACACGACATTTACCGGATGTTTCTTCTTGGGCATCTTCCTTGGTCGGTACGTGGGTTACAGCTAAATGGTAGCCAAGAGACGTTCGTGACGTATATTGCGGTAATCTGGTCAAACTAGCCGCGAAGAAAATATCATCCCGGTATAAAGGCCTGGCAATCAAGTCGGCGTGTGAGCGGCGACTGTTATGCTGAGGCTGCGTCTTTGTTGGTATTTGAACTTTCACAGTGGATCCAATCAGAGGTTCGGTATTGTCAATGTTACTGTTAGAGTCTTCTTGTTCGTCTCTTTCGGCAACTGGCACATCAATGAACATTGGTTTGTTAGAGAGGGTATTCTTAATCGCTCCGGCATTAGCCGATGATCGACGGATGTGAGAGTTAGAAATATGGGAATTACTTCCCCGAAAAACTTCCTCGGCAGTCGGATAACGGGTGTTATTTGCGACGCCCATCCATGTATGAGGGCTAACTTTATTTGTGAATCTCATTTCAGGAGGCATAGAAATTCCGGAGTCAAGTTTGCTGTGTAGTTTGAGCATTGAATTTAATTTCTCAACAGCTTCCTCATGACGACGTGCAGTGTCCTCTTCTTCAGTTTGATCGGCTAAAGTAACACGAACCGGTTTGATAGGTCTAAACAAGGCTCCGAATACTATACATAACAGCAACATGCCTGAAAGGTACAATTTTTTTTTAAATAACTTAATAGAGAGAAATATTGAAATATTGGATGATTTTATATTATTCTAGTATCACCAACCTGCTTGGGCCAGCATAGTGTATCTCCAACCAAAATTATCTCTGAGGGCATTGGTTATAGGATCCATTGCAAAGATGCCCACGCCAGAACCACATAGCGCCAGACCAGTCGCTACTGCTCTCCACTTCTCAAAGTAAAAACCGACTGTCAGGACAGCTGGCATATATATCATACACAGACCAATACCTGCGAAAATTATACATAAAACATTAGTTTCTCATTCTATTGTTTTCTTATAAATGAATTGGAACCAACCTTGAGCGTTACCAAATTATTTTTTGAAATGGGTTCACAAATGACAAGCATATAGTGTAACACAAAAACCAGTCGGATGTCCAGGAGGACATCCTCTTTTTGAAGTCAGAATAATACTAACCGCCAAGAACTCCGTAAATAATGTGAAGGTATTCGATGCTAGTAGCGTAAAAGGAGAGCGCGAACGCAGCACTGGATATAAAACTACCGACGATGGTCACTACTCGAAATCCGTATCTGAAAATAATATGTTGTGAATGCAGTTTACGTATTTTTTGTAGAAATGAAAGCGGAGTTGTATATTATTTAATAAGCAATAAAAACCTGTAGCCTTTGATTTAAACCTGAAGGGTTGAGAAACATCTTCACCAGACGATTCAAAATTCAAGTAAGAAACTGTTCAGTCGGAGAGTATACCTACCTAAAATATCAAACTGCTATGGAGAATCTTTAGAGACTTAGAAGAAGAACAATCAGATACTTAGATAGATCGGCATGCCGATGAAGGTAGTTGGGATGGATTAGATTTCGAAATCGGAGACAACTTGCAAACTTTATAGGAATTGATATTGTTTAATATTTAACGCAAAAGTAATGTAGGCTTTGGTATACATATTTAAGAGCTTGCACAAAGTATGTTTGTGTAAATCAAAATCGTATTATATTTTATATCTTACTTATTAGCTAACGCCGATACGAAGGGACCAACAAAGAGATAGAATCCAGCGGCCAGAGAGTTGACAAGCGCTACCTGACTCTCGGAGACCTGCGAAAAAAAAAGCAATTAAAAATATTTCTGAGACAAGTGCTTAAATTAGCTCTAATCTTGACACAAATTTAAAAAGAACGGCAACAATTGTTTAGATCATTTTGAGTAGATGCAATAGAGTTTTGTTTGGATAACGAACCCACCCGTTCCGTCGTAGTCTCCATATGTGTGTACACTATTATCCAGACAAAAGGCAAACCTCAGAAGGACAATTCTCGTAATCTTAAAACATCACAGAACGAAAAGTGATTGAATTGATACAGAATTATGAATTGAGTGAAAATAGGTATACTACTTTATAAGGAGAGGCTTATGGCCAGCAGTGGACTATTAAAGGCTGTTGATGAAGATGATGAAGGTATACTTCTCATAAAAAATACTTTCCGGCAGCAAATACTTTCAACATTCCATCTCATAAAAAATGTCAAACTTGACGTATAAACAGAGATAAGAACAAGAATATTACGTTTCAATCGCATTAAAGTAACAATGATTAAGACTAGCAGCATGCCGATTTTAACTCTTTTCAACGTTCAGTCACAATTAGATATAGATGTAATTACATTACAATCAACGTTGGCTGTTTAATACTTAACTAAGAGAATATATTTTTTGACATTTGTGAGTTTTGTGTGGCTGAAAGTGCTCATCTTAGATTCTATGCTAAGAATTGTAAAATTATTATGGTGTTAGTAAGCCTGTTTATTGAGAAAGAAGTATAAGCTATAGGTAACTATAAAATGGCACCTTATGAGAGTGCAAGAGAATCCATAAATGTGGGTGAAACTACAGGGCTAGTATATTAACGCAACAGCAATGGAATAATTACTATAATTTCTTGACGGCACGTATATAAGTGGTTCTATTTGCTATAAATATGTGTTTTTTTTTAATTTAATGTCAGGTTCCTTCCATAATTATATAGTAATCGCCCCAAGTACTTAGTAACTAGTATTAGCTGGTTACTTGAACACATTGAAATTGATTGAATATTTTAAAAAGAAAGCCGTAGGCCTACTTTTCAGTCTTCCCTGATCTTTGAGCAGGAATTATCAGGTGATTGGAGTGTGTGTGGCTTAAACGAATCGTTGCTATACTCATTAGTAGAAGAGCGGAGTAAAAGCTTTTTACTAGTTGTGCTTTCTCTAGTGCTTGTACCATTGCTTGTACTCTCCGAACCTAGCTGCAGCTCACTCGCTGTTCTATTAATTGTATTACGTCCATCATACATAACTTACTATTTAATCTCTCTTCAATTTAAACTTCTAGTTACTGTAATGAAAAATAACAGTAATAGTGAAAAGAGATTTTCATATAATTGTATCAATTTATACCTATCCACATCGAAAACTATTCAAAGAGAATCAATTAAAGACCCGGTTTTCGGTTATGGCTACTTATGACAAGTAAGGAAAGTAATATGGAAGTAAGTTGGTGACTGCCTTCCTCCAAATTAAGTGTGTAATGCGATATTTAGTTTGTTGTATGACCTAGTGACTTTGTTATCAACTATGACAAACAAGTCGAAGATTTGTTACGCTTCATACACTTTTAGCTTTAATTAAATTGACATTAGAAGGAAAGTGGAGTCTATTTCTTGTTATACCGGACCAAGAATAGTGAGTCGTCGCGAATTAATGTATTTAATTTAAAAATAAACCGTTAAGAGCGCTACTAAATACATTTGATTTTTTGGCACTAACTTAGCGAATGCTTGCAAAAATAGAGTAAGTATAATGTAAAGCTGTAAGGAAGACTGGGTGGCTACCTTATAGGCAGATTTCTACTTATAGGGATAACATTTAGGCGACTGTTATCTTAGACACGGTGTATCTTAGCGCCTATCAATTTCTTCGGACTTGGAATACTTTCTGTTTATCCTGCCATTGTACTCGTTTTTCTCTTCTCTTTTTCTCATAAAAAGACAACTCCCGTATTAGGAATATATATTCCTGTGTCTCGGGGGACTTTTGAAACATACATGAAACGGACACAAAGAACACCCAGACTAAGAACAACAAAGTGGTGTCCCATTTGGGGATCGAACCCACAACACTCAGCGCAATAGGAAGCGGCGTGGCGACCGCTTAAACCACTACGACATCCGTGCAGTCAAAGTATAGGTTTCATAAGTTTTTATATCAGGTTTCTCGTGGTCATATTCGTGATGTACAGCGGTAGTCATATTCAAATTGAATCAAAACGCCTTAGTTAACTCACCATGGCTTGGATTAGTTACATCGTCCCACGCTCTAAAAGAAAGAAAGTTGTAAACAATAAAATTTTAATATTTTGCCTGGCTTATATACATTCCATTCATTATTCAATCATCTCTTTCACAATACTTATCGTAATGAATCGCAGCTCGCAAGGCCTAGACCAGACACGTTCATTTCATAGTTACCTGAGGTCTATGTGTGGTCCTATTTACTGATTCTGATACATGCCGGTGTTTTCGGCGTGCAGAACTGCTTGTTAGACATAACGGCTCTAACAGACTTAGGTTATGGACATGGAATTTTAATGACGCCCTTAGTAAATTGGTTTAGAGGGCATTGAACGAAGTCAAAAGTTTCTAACGTTAGATGCTATTATAAGTGATGACCGCCTAAACTTACAGAAATATTTAGATACTGTTTTTATGTAAATAAACAATGCTACTACATTCCATTCAATTACATTTCCTGCATTTTTAAACACGAGTATTTGTTTTTTTTCTATTTTATTTCAGTTTGCTCAAAAATGTTACTTAAAACATTGTTTGAAATTTTGTCGTAGCGCCTTTTAAGCAAATATTTCGCTTTGAATACACTAACTATTGACTTGGTATACTTTATTTTTAATTTTATTGCCTCAACTTGTTAGTTTGACTCTCAACCTTAGTGTGTAACTTTTTTGATACAAATATATGTAAAAATGTAATGTGTGGAAAGAGAATGATGAAGTTTATTAAGTCCATTCACAAAATAAGTAAGTTTAATACTCAAGTTTTATTCTCGATATTAAGAATATAGAAAAATCATAGAATATTTTGATTATTTTCTGAAAAAATGTTTAAGTACTTATTGTAAGCAATTCTACCTAATATTGCAATGTGAGTGCTATTACAATATTATGGTTGCGGTATAATTGGTTAATCGACAGTGGAAAAATTAATATCGGAAATTGTCAAGGTTCTCTATACAACTGGCAAGTGCATTAATTAATTTATTGCGAGTTTTAATATCGTCTACTGGTATGTGTTTGGAATTCAGTTAAGAAAAAGCGAGAGCTTTAAATCTACTAGAGGCGTTAGCTAATTAAACCGCGATTAATTAATGCTAATTAAGGGATTATGTACTAGAAGTCACGTTTGCAGCTTTCAATTAATTCCGTCAGGTGTGAGTGCAACCTAACAAAAAATTATAAGGTTTCTACAAATGACTTTCAATTTAATTTCTCCTTTTCTAATTTACTTGCAATAAGCAGTTAAGTTTGTCTATGAATTTCTAATATTTTATGATAGCTAGCTATTACAGAACTTGCGTTTCGAAGTTGTTTCATTTCTTGATGAAAGTTAAAACCCAATTTTTTAATACCACACGATATTATACATTAAATGTTAAATGATCTTATATTAGTACATTTCGGTATAACAAAAGGTAAGTCAGTCAAGTAAATAACCATATAGCTGTTGGTTGACTGAGTTTTTAATAGTTAGAAAACAGTGTATTGGCACTAGGTGCTAATACATCCTGTTTTAATACTTTTCAGAAACTAACGCGTGTGAGTTGAACAATCTTTCTGTCTTTGACAAAATGACTCTCTGAATGGCGTTTGAACTATGAGCTGAAACACTAAGCGGAATACCTGCATGTGTCTATTTTAGTCATCTGATGGTAAGTGATTACCGCCACCCAAGAGACACAACTGTGTTACCGCCCTTTGTGTTCCGCCCCTTTTTTTATTTTACATTTTTTTTACAATATGTGGATTTTTTTTAACACTATAGTTCCATTTAATTTTCATACAATTTAAGATAGGTAGTGTACGTGTGCCCTTAAAACATTGTAATGATCAAGTTTGTAGTTGCGCTTACGTACATTGCTAATAACTATTTTGCATAACCGTGCAACATAGTTGTTACGATTTACAACTCTATTCCTAGGGTAATAGAGGTGGTGATTGGCATATCAATGGCAGCCTGTAATGTATTATTTGTTGTAACTGTAAATTGTTTGACGTTATCCAGTTGACTTGCATACTTAACCCCACTGTGTTAGCAATGCAAATATTAACCACCAACACATTCTTTACAATCGGGATATTGATTAATTCATTGATTTTGGTCACTGTTATTGTTTTGTTTTATTTACAAAGTAAATAAAATTGAAGAGTCTATTCGTGTAATGTTATGTAAATTACACACATAGATAATTTATTTATATAAATTACACACAGAACAAATGATCGAACTCATCACACAATATTTGTCGTGGGTGGGAATCGAACTTACGATCACAGGCTTAGTAGTCGAGATCACTTGCCACTACACCAACAGTCCATATAGATAGATACACCTTCTACCTTCATTTCAGATTCCGAAAGAGAGATTCCAAAGATGTTTAGCTGAAATACCTACAGTAAATACCTACGTTACGTTACGTTTTCTTTACGATGACTGTTACGTCTGCATCGAAGTTACGAAATGTAGATTACAAAATAGTCTTAAAAATATTATGTTTTATTAAAAAAATGTTGGCAGTCGTCCAACTGTTGCGTATACTCGTAGACACGTCTATTAATTTTCATAGATATTGCGTTTGCTGAAATTGTAAATATTTATATTAAGGTAAAAGTGCTGAGAATGTTATTTCGTGTTTTAAATTCTAAATTTGAAACACCCGCGGTAATTAACAAAATAATTGTAATTTGCTGATAGAAATAGAGACCCACTTCACACAGATAAGGTAATTGTGGATAATATTTACTGCACAAAAAATTTTTAGTAACAAAATTTAGAACAAAACTGGATGAAAAATTGATTTATAAAATTACGATAATACTGTATCAGTTCGAGGTAACGATTACGCGAACTAAGCGATTGGATCCCAAAAATAAATACATTAAAAATGCAACCTGTTCAGCTTTAAATGGTTTCTCGAGGCCGAGATCGTTCAGTGCACTCGTATGTGGGAATTTATGTACTTAAGAGTTGCAAGGGTTAGTGCACTTACGATAGTGGAAAAGTTTTAATCTGTTTGCGGTGCTTTACATTCATCACGTAGCGCAGAGCAACCGCTTTTAAGGTTGTACACCTAGCTACAGTCATCGCACATTTTTTCCAAATCCGTTACTAAAACGGATTTTGTCTGAAAGTAAATTATATATGCAGAATATTTGAGTTTACAGTGCTTTGGTTACATATAAGCCTAATTGCGATAATAAATGTATTCAGGAATTTAAATGTAATCAGAGATTGTCATGGAATACAAATTATTGTATATTACGAAGTTGAAATGGAATTTTAGGCAAGTTTTTTTTTCTCTTTATTGAAGAAGCTTAATATACATTAAATAATATTAAGGGTTAACAGCGATGGAGTGGATACCATTAAAGAGGTTGAAACTGTAGAGAACGCTTAGACACTTCAGGTTAATCCGTGTTTGTTTTTACATTTATTTATGTATGCATACGTTACTATTATTATAATTTAAATATGAATTAATATTGTATAAGCCAGTTAAAATGTAATTCCGGAAATATATCTAGGAAAAGAAAAGAAAGAAAAAATCAACTCTATTTTTAAACCGACTTCAAAAATAGAGGTTTTATTTTTTTTATTTGTTACCTCAGAATGCCTCAGGACGGCAACACTTCCCGTTTTGTCGCATTGAAATAAAAAAAAAACCACGAGGTGATGTTCTATTTTCAAACTTTAAGATGAGAAAATCAAGGAATAAAGAATATAGTTTTTATAACAGTTAACATGATGTAAGCGGATTGAAATCAGTAATACTTTTTAAAGTTATAGTGTATTCGCATCTTAATTTTTCCAAGTGCTAACAACCCTTGAGATTTGTGATTTTCTATTTCTAATTGGAACATTTAAAAATTACATAATTATGTAATAAGAAACTATTTTAAATATATAGCTAATTGTACTTAATTTATTTCAACATCCGGCTAATACAGTTCCAGAGATTTAGGGACAACCCTAATTGTAATGGCCACGGCAAATTCCATTCCTGACATCAATTCGATTCCGAAGTGGTGTAAATTGTGTAATTAATTGCTGCGTGCTGATCGCGCGACTGGTTTCTCTGACGTCAATATTATAAAATGATATAAACGATGCAACGTTATGTTTCGAAATACGTAGTATTGTTAGTAGGAAGTTATTTCATTAAAATAACAAGATTAAAAACAAACTGCTAACTGGCTGACTAACTGCACGAATGGCGATGAGGTTTAAGCGGTCACCTCACTGGTTCCTACTGCTCTGAGTGTTGTGGGTTCAATGGTTCGATCCCTACATGGGACAACACTGTGGGATCCACAAATTGTTATTCTGAGTCTGGGTATTCTTTGTTTTCGTTTCATGAATGTCTGTTAAGTTCCCCGCGACACAGGATATATTCCTAGTGCGGAAGTTGTCTTTTTACAACAGTCCGTTCAGCAAAATCAAAACGCCGCTATGCCTAGGATGTGCAGGCAATATATTATGTTGTCTAAAACTAAAAACTTAGATATCATTGTTTCACTTGTAAATATAAAGGTTCCTCAAAAAATATTTTACAGTGATGTATTAATAATACTCGTATTGTCTACCTACCTACATATTAACTTGCTATCCATAGTTACTTCGAAATTTTGATTTATGTGTGACATGTCTATATGTAATATGTACCACCTAAATGGCTTTAATATCACTTGTTACCAATGTTTGCATGTTGTGGTATCCTGTAATTGAGGGACTACACCAAAAGATTATTGTGAAATATTTACTTTAAGGTATAACTAACTGTGTATAGCATTTGTTGAATCCAGAAATTATATAAATATATAAAGGTATTTGTAAGGATAAGAGTTACAGGTTAAAGATTGCAAACGAGCAAATGGGTCATCTGATGGCAACTGTGGAGTCACAAATGCGCCTTTATGGGGTAGAACGTTCATTTCACATTATACACTATGTACGCTTATTTGAACGTTTATAAATTAAACAAAGTTTTATTTAAACATTTTTTTCTTCAAATCGAAATTGCGTTTTTTAAACCATGATTATCATTTTAATGTTCTTAACGCACGGACTGAACTCAAGTGCCCCACAGACAAACATTGTAATATATTATTATACAGTATACTCAAACGATTGAATGACTAAGTCGACGAATGAATGGCGATTTGTAAGCGCCATGATTGAAACCTTGGCCTTAACATTATGATAATTTTATTCTTGAAACAGATCATTGTAGTACTCTAACAGAGTAGTAGAGAATCCTCTAAGAGTTTTCGAGGTATCGACATAAACTTCGATACGACCTTATTAGTATTATTTAAGCCAATTTTACCTTAACTAATAGGGTATTAAGACAAATAGTTAACAGTCCTCTTGAAATTTAGGTATATGACACAAGACTGAAAAACTTTTATATCTTGCTTTTTAGTTTCTCTTTTTATTGTTAAATCACATATAATTAACAATACAAATAATAGAAACTTCCACAGAATGAAACGATTCGACGTTTAATAAGGCAGAAGCGATTTCATTGTCAAATACCGAAAAATCGAAATACTGTAAGGTCATTGTGCTCATTTTTAATAATCTTACTTATTTATATGTAGCACAATGACCCACAACAGATAGCCAAAAGTTATTCCGTTTCACGCATACTTGATAATTAGTATTCGTTCATAGTATAGTGTCACACTCAAAAAAACTCAAAGACAACCTTGATGATCTGTTCGTAAGCATGTCATTGCTGGTCACTCATCGTATTTTTTTTATACCGTTACAATTCAACATGAGGTACAGTTTATTTAGTGTACAATGCATTTTTGTCTATGAATACTGATACATAGTAATGAGTCTACCAGTAAACACGGTCGGTGCAATTCGATTGAAATGTCGGGTATTCATAAAGGTACTGTATTGTACCTTATCTATATATTATCGCGATAAGTTTTGAGTTATGCATCTAACAATGTATTTTGGGCATACTGCATTTTAATAAATCAAACGGGGAGACTGTCCGTATTATAAAAAAATACATAATAAGTCTAAAGTCACTAAACGAGGACCGTCATGGCGGTGGCGCATTCCACAGATAAAAAATATAATGTCATAGATAAAATATGTAAATATATATCTTGATTATAAACAAAATCTATACTTACATATAGTGTGTAAGATGTGTGAAATTATTTTATATTTAAAGCTAAAGAGTTTTATATAACATCACGCTACGACCTCTTGGTCGAGCCGAGTGTCAATGAAAAATGTTGCGAAAACGGGTTTTATTCTGTAGCTTCTTCACGCCAAATTGCTGTTACAACAATTAAAACTGAAGATGGTTATAGTTGTTGTAACAGAAAGAGTGTAAGAGCAAGCAACGTTTTTCTACACAATGCGTGGGAGAGTCAACAGGATAATACAACAACATAACGAGCAAAACCATCTGGAACCACTTACACATTTGTAATAGAATGACCACATTATAAAGATCTGTGCATGATTGTATTAACGACTCAATTATTTCAAGGATCACTTTTTTCTGAATAGGGACACTGCACTAAAAACCGAATCGTGTAGAGATAGGTACCAGACGCATGCGTGAACTGACTAATATAATTAGAAAAAGAAAGAAAAAATATTTATACGGCAACAACATACACTATGTATGATACATAAATAAATGTATCATGTATATATACTTCTGAGAACGTTTGCTAATCATATTAAAAATAATATTATCAATGCAACTAGCATTGTTAAGAATCAAAGTAAAAATTAGATGTTTCTGTTTTATTTTTTCGAGATTTCAGATGATTTCAGTCCATTTCATTGCCCATATTGCAGCTGTCCGATGGTATATATTACGTTCATTTATTATGCTTTGATCTGAGTCCAGCAGTGGACTAGTAAAGGCTGTTGATGATGATGATATGTATGTCCTTATTCCCAAAGATCTTATTCCTTTGCCCATTAGATTCTTGTCCAATCATAATGAAAGTGAAATTGTTTTGGAATCAATAGTGCATTTAATACTAACTGCAGAAGAATAAAATATAATAAAAGATAATCTTACCTTGAAATCTGACTTGATGGCGTCGGCGAGGGCTCCTCCAGATGTCATTATGATCCCATCCACAATGAAGTTGCACATGAAGGAGGCGAATACCACCACCCATCCCCAGCCACCATCCGGAGGAACAACCTGTAAATAACATTAGTCATAACAAAATGTTGTACACAAAATTCCTGCCCAGGTAAAATAGTCCATTATAATGTTATATGCTGAGTTATTGCATAAATTTGCAAACCGCTTTTGGGCTGTCCTTTTCTTATTATAAAAAAAAAATCTCCTAATATTATAATTAAAAAAGTGAAAATAATATATGTTTAGATTTAAATAAATTGATGCAGTTTCACTGCACACATTTTCAGTTTCAAGCAGGGAAAATACTTCATCAATCTTTTAAATAGACGAGTTGCCTGCAGTTGTAGTACATATCCAATACTGTATTGCAGAAGGTAGATGTTATGAGGTTTCTGCTAGAAGACTTCCAACTGGGGAAGTACCTTAGTTCTAGAGAATATGATAATAAAAAAATAATAATATTAAGATTAATGAATAAATTTTCTAGAATTATGCGTATTTTTGTAGGCGAGGAGGTTTGCCAGAGCTCTATGAAAGCAGAATGTATAAAATGGCTATGTTTAACATTACAATCCATAATTTTCACAAACTATGGTTATTATTTCAAAATGTTTTAGTTAATTTGGAAAATTGTTACTCGTATTTCGATTAAGAATGCAGGACCATTTTATATTAGCGATCCTGACTGCTAACCGAACTCATGCTTCTCATCCTAGACAAATAATGTGTGATGAGTACGATCATTAATGACTGGACTGGTCTGACACTATTAAGAAATGTATGTAATAAGCTTGCTTTGCGCTCTGTTACGCGAGTGAACCTAAAACGTATAGTCAGCAATATGTGGGCGTTTAATACGCTTCTGTCCACTTCTCTGTGATTACAGGCGTGAGTGTATTTATGACATTAAGGTTATATTGTAGCAAACGCAAAATAATGTTTACATAAAAGCACGAAAAGATACTTCACGCAGTTTTCTTCTAACTTCTTGGATATTGCGTCGCCAGTGCCCTTGTCGGCAACATCATCCGTAATTATAATGAAGTCTGGCATTAATACAACAGTTAATTTCTAATTATCTTCATTGTTATATTGGAGTTGATACTTTGTGACAATTATAGTGTGTGACATTGGCAAGCTATCCTTAATGTAGGAGGATGTATTGCAGAGTCTGTCATTATATTTAAATATGATATTATTTAAAAGAGGATGTATACCTATACATCCTCTTTTAAATAATATGAGTACCTACTCATTTTAGGACTTTCGTATACAGAGGGAACACTGTAACTGTGTCCAATGTGGTCAAGCGGCCAATGTAGTCCCTGGCACGGGGGGTGTGGTCTAACGACTACGAGAGGGGCGTCGGGACAGCCGTCAGAAGTCTCGCATTAAGCAGAGATACTCTCTCTGTACGCAGGTACGTACGTACTCTACGGTAGTGGCGGCGGTTAATGCCAATCACCAGCAACTAGACGTCCCGACCCGCAGACGCCGACTTATCGAGAGCGGGGATCTTTTTTTCTAGATAGGAGACTGACCAAAAGGAGAAAACCTCTATAAAAAGCTACAAGGGTAGGGTGGCCTAGGCCGCATACCAAGGGTTATCTCTTCACATGCCCCGTCGCCCCATGAAACGTCGGTGGACGATGTTTCATGGGGGCGACGGGATGGCTGTCAAAAGTTCCATGCATGAAGCAAATGGCGGAGGTCACTGCCGAACTCCGGCAACCGATCGGCCCAACCCGTAAACGCCGAGCAATCGGGAGCGGGGGTTTTCTCGAACGGGGAAGAGAGTAGAGAAGGCCGCGAGGAAGAAAACCTCTATAATCTAAAAAATTACCCCTAACCCAAACTGAGGGAGCCTGGTGAAGAGGTTAACGGTTGGGGGGATACCCAGCCGCTAACCGCCACCCCGTCAACAAAAAAAAGATACATATTCTGTGTCACGTCGCGGGTAACTTTAAAAGTATTAATTCAAACGGATACAAAGAACACTCAGACTTAGAACAACAATTTGTGGATTACACAAAGTATTGTCCTGTATTGTATTTGTATTGTATATCTTTTTGTGTGTGTGTCTTTTTTTTCTCTGCCCGAAAATCCCCTCGGATACCACCCACCGGTGGGGTAGTTATGTCGGACTCAAATTGACCAAAAACCGCACGCCGTCTCGGGCACCAGGAGCCGGAGAACCAGGTGTATCCTAGAAAGGAAATCCCTGGTACCCCGACGTACCTCTGGCCATCTGTGGCCCGGCCGCGTGGGAATCCCCATGTTCCCTTTGTGCTACCGAAGGGCACGCGCACACCGCAACGGGTCTTGACGCCACCCCGGCCTGTCACCCCCAGGCCTCCAGTCCTCATGAAGGACGGAGGTCGTTCTACGAGCTCCGGTGGCTGCGGTTCCTGGCCTGTTCCCGGGCCCTAGCGGGCCAGGAGATTTGTTAGCTGCCCCTAGGAATATGTAGGAGGAGAGATGATATGGAGGAGAGAACCATTGAAATATTTATTTATTAAGTAATCGATCCAAAACTATAGGTAAATCATTAACCTGATAAAGTGTAAACTATGTTATAAACTACATATATGTTAATGTTATGTCCAACAGCTTGTTCTCCTTGACCTTGTGAGAGGTCGCAGTTCATAATATGTCATTACATTAAACGCAGACTTAATATTTGATATACCTAAGTACTAAACGATTTACTGGAAACTGTAGGTCTATCAGCTTAATTGATCTGTTATAATGCCAATCTATTAAATTAATATAGACTGATACACATCAATGAAGCGGCTAGCTAAGCGCTATTTCTGACATCGTCGTGGTGCAATAATCTACAACAGTTATAAGATAAAAATCGGTATAGCATTAAGGGTCTTATAATCAGGTTCTCTACAAACGTATTCTGTTCTCTATTCTTACAGGGAGGACTCTTACGAGGTTTTTCTAGATGTGTTAATGGTTTCTGCCTTGTATGTGACAATAAAGAACATTTTCAGACATGAAGACATGGATTCGACTTTAGACCTAGTTGTTTGATTGGAAACATCTGAGTGAATGCACTGTTCGTATGGGAAAATTAAACAAGAAGAGTCATGTGTTACAACTTGTTAGTAGTTCATTTCTTGTAACTTACAAGAAAGAACCTACTTAGACAAGGAGAAAAAGGAAACAAGGCTTTACTATTTGCTATATTTATTCCATGTGTATGTAACCAACATATTAACAACTATTTTCGATGTTAATTGCTTAAGGCATCTTATCAGTTTCTTAAATGTATAGAAACCTAAAAAATTAACACGCGAACAGAATATATGTACCAAATACAAGTGAGGCCCAAATAAATGCGTCTATCGTGATTTGAACTGCTCTTCGAACGATTGCCGTCTTTTTGCGCCATACCCTTTTGAACGCCATTTTGCGATTTATTACTATTAAAGTAAAAGCAGCATTACTGTCATACTTATTTCGGCAAGAGAAAAACAGAGCGATGTGAGTACACAAGCTTGTACCACGTTTTCTGTAATCTTACGGATTTTCCTTCTTCTCTGTAATTTCTTTTCAAATGCTGTCATTTTATTTGTTTGCTATGAAATATTGGACAAGGGGTACAAGTCTTCTATATGCATATCATGTGTTTTCTTTTTCAAATTTTCCATGTTTATTTAAGGTTTAACACTGCAGCAGCTCACACATTCTGACTTTCGTGATATACAATCAGTCTGTACCTTTCTTTCAAGGCTGTCAGACCTCGGCCACTCAATTGACTCGAAACCAAATAGGACGGAGCAAATGTGTATGCCTACGATCAACGCTATCCATACATTACAATACGATAGACAGGACATAGCCAGAACATGAAATGATCGAGGACATTTCGCTTCGTCCTATTTGTGTTTTATCGGCAATAAAGCTGTACTTTTCAAATTTACATACACTAATGTCAATCTTGTTTGACGGTTTGATTTAGTTTTTAATTTTTTGTTTTGGTTGGTGGCGTAAAGACTGTGAGAGGTTTGTTTTAAATGCGTTTAATTATTTTAAGACACTGTTAATATTATAGCGCGCTTTATACTTTTAAATCGATTTACAAACGTTCTTAAGAATCGACAGAATCGGATTCTTCAAAATTATAGTACTGAGTACGAGTATACCTTATGATTATATTGATGTCATCGTGTTGGTAGTACCAGATACCAACGGAAAAAGCCGCTCCACACCAGTTTTAGTTTCCCTTTAAGTGGGAATTACCTATCCTCTACTGTTATTAACTTTGCCTGATAGCAGATAATATTAATTTTCAATTGACTGTAAAAAATACTCACTAATGCCGCTTCTGGTTCCGTGTCTGCGCTGGGAGAGTCGCTTCTACCTAGCCCGCTCTCATCGGAAGATGGCGTCTCAAACGGACGCTCGTCTGTCGCCACTCTTACTACCATTGTGCTAGCTGTAACAAAAAGTAGTATTGTCACTGGTCTGTAAAATAACTGTAAACATAAATTTGTGTGAACACAAAAATGTGGCGATGATAACCAATAAAACGAATAAAAGTCGGAAACAAGACGTTTAGCCGGTAATTTCAATCTGCCGGTGAAGAGTTACGAAAGAATTGCTTAACATTGGGTTTCTGTGAGACTGTGGTATGTCTCTAGTCATCATCATCATCGTCAGCCTATTGCTGTCTACTGCTGAACGAAGGCCTGCCCCAATGGGCGCCAACCACCAACGTCTTGGGCCATCCGCATGTCTCTAGTCGAGTCAGCCCTTTTGTGGTTAGACTTGGTATTACTACATGCCTGAGTTACATTAGTTACATCTGTTTACGTGCTCATTGCTCACAGCGGGGTATAATTTTTCGTAATCGCCTTGGCCCCCTGGTGTTAGATTACATCCGTATTATATTGAGTTGACGTTTCATGGATTGAAGTTAGGCTGTATGTTAGGGCATGGTTGTATGTTAGGGCTGGTAGTCGATTACTGGTGTAATCACTTAATTAATTAATGATTTAAATAACACTACGTATGTATTACTTGGCAATGATATAAAAACTCGTCTCATACACGGCCGTCTTATTGCAAACTAGGCAAAGTCTCTGCTATGGTAATCAGACTGTTAATAAACATCTATTTTTAAATACATACGTATTACTTACAGATTAAACACAGACATATTAAATTATTACACCCAGATACAAAACAAGAGGTCGTGTTCATGAATTTATCTTGGGATGGAATAGAACCCACGACTTAGCAGTCAGGATTACTAACCACTAGACTAGACCAACAGACAAACATTAAATTAATCCAGAAGGCCAATTCTCTTAATAAAAGTTCGGTCTCAAATCAGTTCCGATCAACTTTCGATCTTACTTGAACTGTCATAAAAGGTGTTTTCGTATAAAATACTAAAGTATTACTAAGACTAGCAGATTATCGATTTAATTTTCGGTTACAATACAATACAATCACATTACAACCAACGTTGAATGTTTAATACTTTACTACAAAAATACCTTTGATGACAGTTGTGAGATCGAAAGTTGATTGGAACTGCATTGAGACCGAACTTTTATTACGAGAATTAGCCTTCGGATATAAAAGCAAAATGTCTTGATAAATATATAAATATGATAAATTCAAAAAAATGCAAGTAATAGTGACTAGAAAGCGAAATATAAGTTATAAACTTTCGGTATGTACCTATTTTCATCTATGATAGTCATATTACGTGTTTTACATAATTTACTTAAAACGAATATATGTGTGCGCATTTACTATACGTATTTAATATTCATTATTTAATCATTATTGTAGTAAACACAATAAAACGTGTACCTATGCGTAGTTGTTGACTGGAGTGGAGGCAGTACCTACATCGAAGTAGTTACACGGGTATTTAAATTTGAAAATTATTATTAAAGATAGTGTGTACCGAAACAGAACAAATTGCGAGATATAAAATCCGTCTGTTCGCAGACTGTGATAATTGGATATTAACTGTAATAATAGCATTAATGAGGTGGGTAGATAGTTACGTAGTTTTTTGTACTTCACATACAAATGCACGTCTAGGTATAACTCCGAAGACATGAACATTAGATGCGTGATTATCGTTTCATAGGTACCTTTATTTTGTGGATTTTATTTCATATGAGAAGCAACCATGTTCACTAAATTATTACGTTACTCTAATTAAAATTGATCAATCTTCATCTTTTATTGTCCCGAACATGATTCCTCTAGTCTGGTCGGGTTTGCTTGAATTATTTACTTAAATACCTAACTTAATGTATTTAGAATATTTAAATATAAACAGTAGGTACGTATTGTACTTTCAACTTGAAAATAAAAATGATTAAAATCTTATTCCGCTTTTTCCGCTTATGTTGTTTTAATTTTACCGCCAGTGCGGCCATGGGCCAAGGCCATGTTTCGCAGCAATTACATTTTAAATAAATGGCTCCATCATTCGAATAATGGTGACATTAAATACAATTATATTCACAGAGAAGAACCGAAACAATTCAAAGACATAGTGATATTATCTATTCGTGTTGTATTATTAGAACAGGCAATCGGAAACAACATTCAAGTTCAAGTTCAAGTTAATAACAACTTTTCTCCTAGAAATGTGACGGGAGGCAATGTGACTATCGATTGTTCAGGAAAATTTTAAGTAGGTATTGATCCAGAATCGATTCTAAATCTCACATTTATATTTATGTTAACAAGCTTCTAACCTTACACGTTTATGATTCTTTTCACCACGTGGTTTGGCTGCGTGTTTTAGAATCAGTTGTGCAAACACTAATCAAGTTCACAATAGATTTGTTATCACGTGATGCAATACAACTAACTGTAACCGATAACAATTTATTTTATTTACAGTACTGGAACTTCCTAATTTCATTTGAATTTAGCCCAAAAAATGTACACGGATTTTTAATCATGTTTATGATCTAAGTTTAAGTAGCCAATTACACAGAACAAATGACCGTGTAAACCACACAATTATGAGCTGGGTGGGAATCGAAACCACGACCTTTGGCGTAGCAGTTAGGGTCACTACACAACAGGCCAGACAGGCCAGTCATTAGAGGGTTTTTGAAATCGAAATCGGTAATATCTTCATTTTTATTCTAATTCATGTCCAGTGTATTGATTTACATTAATATTTTAGTCTCGTTTAACTAAGCACTGCCATCTATCAACGCTACAGAATTCAAAAGTTCAGTCAAAGTCAGGTCCGTTCACACATCCACAGTACATCTGTTACTTCGGAAGATTATTAACAAATAAAATTGTCAGTTTGTATGTCAAGAAAAATTTAACTCATGTTAACTTTGTATTAAAAAATACTTAAAAGTAAAAACCGAACAACATTTCTTACGTATGTTTTCGCAAGATACATAATATTGTTGTGTGTATACATTTATTTACACACCTTTGAACTGAATCTTTCCAACAGATTACACAGTTGTCGTACGTGAACATTTACAACTTCGAAGCTTGAAAGCTATTAAGTAAGTAAGTCTAAAGTGATGAAATAGTTTGATAAATACGATAAAAAAATATACGGTCATTGTACCTAGTGGTCTTGACCCTGAATATTGTTTAAAGTTACCAGTTACAGCAGTGCACACTTAAACATGAACTGGAAAACAACGTAATACTTTGCGGTGATGTAAAACATTGCAAACTAGCTATTTGGTTTGACTGAACAGGTAAAGTAACTATAAAATACCGTACTGTTGATAAAAAAAATCAGCTATTTCAGAAGAGTACGTACGTACGTGTATAATAAAAGGAAGCGATTAATTAAAAACCCTATACCAAACTTAGCTGAAAAACATACAATTTACCTTGTTGACTGCAAAAACTACTTTGTATTTTAATCGTTCGTAGATATTTATCGACTTACTTTTGTACTTACTACTGTAACTACTATTATGTGCCTTTAGTGAGTTTTAGCTCAAACGATCCTATAAATGAATAAAAAGTGTAATGTTTTTGTATACCTATGCATACTTTTCCGAAACCGCGGGCTATTTCGCTATTTTAATTTTTATTCTATTGTCCTATTGTCTACAGTCCAAAGGATTCAGACACCAATTCGATAGAAGATAAAAAGTTTGCATTATATACAAAGTGATGAATACTGTTTAGTTTAAAATTGTTTTAGTTATGGTATATACCTAATTTACTATAGGTGTATATATAGCCTTATGCTTTATATGTATATAATATTATTTTTCTCATCATCCTTCATCATTTTACTTTTTCCTTTTAATGAACTTATAATTTTTTCATATTTAACTCAACAAAGTGCTCAGATTAGGAAAAACAGGTTTGCTTTCTATTATATAAGTGTGGTTAAATTATAATGGCAAAATGTCAGCGTTTAATACATTTTTGTCTACCCTTTTACGGATATAAGCACGGGTGTCTGTTTATATGTATTTGATTGTAAGTCTTCGTGCGTAGTTTGGTCGCACGCAAAGTGTTTAAACATGTGCGAACCAATGTCTGAGGCGCCACAATTGCAGCAACGCGTAGACTAATAATGTGTTTCGTATTGTTCCGATTCCGAAGCCTAGGACTAGGTCTAAGAACTGGGCCTATTCAAGTATTCTTAGAAAAACTTTTCCCAAGAATTGGATGACATTTTTTTTATTTACGGGCTTGTAGTCACACATAAGACCATGTACTCATCCCTAATGTTATCTTAAGTATATAGAACATACTTCTATTAATAATACTGCAGTATAGACTATAGTTCAAATACTTTACAACTATACTAACAACGCCGCTTCCGACAAGTCTTTTACAATATACTTTGACTTAACATATTTCTAAATATATATACATGTATTAAAATACACCGAGGCACAGAACAAATGACCGTGCTCATCACACAATCATTTGTCCTGGGTTAACAGCTGCAATAGGCTACTCCACTAATAACAAATTGCTTTATACTCGTAGTTTCAAATTATAAATGAAGGGACATAGATGAGAAAAAACCAGTCTATTTCCCATAAAAGTTAAGGATTATTAATATTTAAAAATGTAATTATAATAATAAAAATACGTAAAGTAAATATTGCTTTTTCTTTAAAATATAGGTTTTTTGGGATTGTTCAAGTTTTTAAATTGAGTCAACTCAAATATTTAGGTACACTGAATTCAGAACACAAACTATTTAGCAATAAACGCAGTTCTCTTCTTTTTCTTTTCTTCTAAACATCTATCAAGTTATATTAAAAAAACAATGTTTTGTTAATAGTTTAGACTATTTATTTAACAATTTATAGACGACCTACCACCAATCCGGGGCCAAACAACTCGGTTGATATAACTTGCTTTTAGTGTACATAACCACTGGACACTGATAACTGAGCGATAAGAGCGGACGTGACGACCCTATTGCTAACGTTGA